AACACCTGCGTCGTCGATACTAGCGGCATAGTCGATGCAGCGGGTTGAAAGGGAACGTCACAGGCGAGGAGGAGCATTCGGCAGGTCGTACCAAAGGGGGAGATCGAGCGGCCATGGCTCAGAGTAGGGGTGCTATGCAGGATGCTCCGAACTTCTAGGGCAGAGAACTAGCTTTGAATCCACTCTACGGCGGCCATGTCATGAAGACAGTGCAGAAGGCGTGATAGCAGCACTTATAAAAATAACTACAATAACGCGTTTGGCATCAGAAACACATGTGGGACATTGGTGGCAGTTATCAAAGAAACACTGCACTCAGTCAACATTTCAACAGTACAGCGACAACAGCATGATTGTTGCGCATCTTTTTGCCAACTCAACACGCGCCTTTCACAGGCGTGTTCATGAGAGTCTGTCCTTTTTAGACAAGTTCTTTCATACCACTGCAGCTGGGAAATTTTCATTTTAGAAGGCAGAAGCAAGCAATGCATATGTGCTGCTCTTTCACTTCTATCAAAATTGCACATAAATATAAGGACAGGCTGTCACCAGGAGCACTCACATCATGGCGGCAACGCCGCTGTGAGTGGATAGTCGTGAGCACGGTGAAATTGAATGCGAGACATCGTAGCCCCGTGCCGATGCAACTTTTTTACTTCTGCATGCATCTGTGCATAGCCTGCGTGGTAAAGCTGATAATTGAATTGTGCCGCTTGCTGGCGTTGTGGCAGGAGCACTGCTCCTCGGCAAGAGCAAATGTGGTGGGCGCACACGGTCTCCGTCGTCTGTCAATCAAATTGACACGTGAATTCGAATACAAACACGTTGATTCTTGAAAGCCCCAATTCAACCTGGAACTGTCATAGTGTTGGTGTGACAGCCAAGCGTTTGATGGTTGCTCTGCTTCATAGTGAAACAGCATCAAAACTGCTTTAATTTTCATTAACCAAATAAGCTAGTGTTTAATGTACACAATACTGAACAATTCTGTCTTTATTCAATTAAGTGGCAATTAAGTGGCAATTAAGTGGCAACATTGTTACACAATGTTGAGATCTCTTGGCAATCGTTTGTTAGAACCATACGTCATTGTGTCGAAAATTTTGTACCGTGTCGAAAAACTTATAAGCATCGTGCAAACCCTTGGATTAGCCGAGAAATAATCCACATGAAGCGTAAAATTAAAAGGCTTCGCAAGAAGCATGTGCCAATGACAACCCAGTTTAAAGTACTGTAAGACAAACTACAAACAAGCTTGGCGCAAGCAAGAAACACTTTTTATAGTAATACGCTGACTGAATTTCTTCAGAATAGCCCTCAAAAATTTTGGAGGTATTTAAGCGAGTCTAAGACAGGGAGTAGTAAAATGAAGGTTAATGGTGTAATAATAACGGATGCTCCTACTATTGCTGAACATTTTAATGCATACTTCCAGAGCGTTTTTTCTCAAACCGATGATTATGAACTTGAGAATTCATTCGTTGACTCAGACAATGACCTATTAGTGACGCAAGAAGGCGTTTTGCCCATGCTATTACAACTTGATCCCAAAAAACCTCCGGGGCCTGATGGCATTCCTAATGCTTTTTTTAACCGCTACGCTGAATACTTATCGGAGTTCCTAACTGGACTTTTTTAATCTTTCAATTGCTACGGGGGAAATACCGGCTGATTGGGATATAGCACGTGTGAAACCAATTCATAAAAAAGGTGACCCCTTATCATTTGAGAATTACCACCCTATTTCTATTACGAGCTGTTGTTGCAAGCTTCTTGAGCACGTTATTGCTAATTACGTCTATGAATTTCTCAGTGAACACAATGTACTATCAAAGCATCAGCATGGCTTCAGAAGGCGGTTATCTACTGTTACCCAGTTAGTTACAACTGTCCATGAATTTTCACGTGTGCTTGATGTTTCTGGGCAAACTGATGTACTGTTTTTAGATCTTTGTAAAGCCTTTGATAAAGTGCCACACGGGAAATTGTTACACAAATTACAGCGTATTGGACTACCTACAAAAATTGTTCTGTGGATTCAGGCTTATCTTTAAGATAGACGTCAGTATGTAGTGATTGGTAATTCTTCATCGACTGTTCTTCGTGTGTCCTCTGGAGTCCCACAGGGAAGTGTGCTAGGGCCACTTTTGTTTTTAATTTATGTTAATGATTTAGCTTCTCTTACTCCTGAAAATGTGTCTGTGCGTTTGTTCGCGGATGATTGCGTCATTTTTAAGCAAATTTCCTCACCGTGTGATCATGTGGCTTTACAAGATGCACTTATCGCTATCGACAACTGGTGTCAGAACGGGGGCATGCAGTTAAACACTAACAAAACTGTGCTTCTGCGCATCACCAGGAAGCTAAGCCCTAGTCAATTCCACTATACTCTAAGAGGCACTAATATTAAAAATGTAGACAAATATAAGTACTTGGGCGTCACACTCTCAAGCAAATTAACTTGGTCGTCCCACATAACTGACATTACCACTTCTGCATTACGTAAGCTATGGTTTCTAAAAAGAAAACTAGCTTCTGCACCCTCGCGTACTAAAATTCTAGCCTATAATGCCTGTGTTCGTTCTAAGCTTGAGTATGCTTCTATTATCTGGGATCCGCATACCAAGAAAGATATTATGAATCTGGAACGTAATAACAGAAAGGCTGTAAGGTTTATTTTTGGCAAATATCGTAGGTTTGATTCCCCGACCACCTTAATTCAATTAAACGACATTTCTACTTTAGAAGCTCGGAGAAAGTTCAGTCGTCTTTCCTTTCTTTACAATTGTTTGTGTGGTATTGTAAAAATTGATCTCCCTGACTGTGTTAAACCGCTCTCAGTACGACGTACTCGTCATGATCATGAACATGCTCTAACCCCAATTTTTGCCCGATCAAATGCTTTTAAATATAGTTTTTTTCCTAGAACTGTCGATGAATGGAATTGTTTGCCGTGTGACATCTTTCATTCTAATAAGTTTCTTGGTGACCTTGAGCGTCATCTTCTTTCTTAACCTTTTGTTTCTTTTGTATTGTTGTCTGTTGTTTTCTACAATTACGTTTTGATGTATCCACTCCTGCTTGGGCCAGCACATTGGCCTGCAGTATTGTGAAATAAATAAATAAATAAATAAATAAATAAATAAATAAATAAGTATATCAGATGCAATTAGGCAGATCATTATCACTAGAGAGCTATTTAACACCATTCTAATTAGCCTGATCTTAGTTATCATATCAGTGGTCTAATTATCATTGTTTCTGCAATCAGCATTATTTAGTTGGTGCATCAACTAGCATGCTTTCGTTAGCATGGTTCTAGCTTTACATGGCTTCATTAGCATGATCTTAATAAGAGATGGCACGACAACCTAAGTCTTCCCACAAATGGCTTAATTAGCGTGGTCATGGCATGTCATGGCCTAACCGGCCAAGTATACCTCCCAGCCAAATGGCTAATTAGCCGGCCACATGTGCTCTGGTGCTAGCAGACAATGAAGACAATAAAGAGGGCGCGCACTGGTTTAGCAGCATGCTAGAATGTACAAAATTCGACCATGATTACTAACATGTGGCCTTTGGTTTTGCTGCGATCGTGATGTTATAAGGAACTCAGTGGAAAATGATCTCAGAGGTCATCGTACTGACTGTTATAAAGCAGATTTAGTGCAGGCATCCAAAGCTTCAAAATGAATTTAAACAGCCCATGCCTTTGCATTCAAAAAATATTATCAGGAAAAGTTTGACACATTTAATGCAGGGGTGCACTTCTGCACTCAGTGGAACAACAAACAAATGAAAGAAGATGCCTCTGGTTTGAAAACACTGCCCAACTATGTCGACCGTCCTTGACGCGATGCCGGGTTCTATCGTAACCAATGAAACGCACCGCGCTGAGGGGTCGATTTGACTTTTTCTACTAATGGCTCATTCAAAAGGGAGTGTCGCCAGAGCCAAAAAATCCTGAGTTTTGCCAAGCTCAGGCCATCCTGCACAATGCCCTAGCGGTGGCAGCGGCCCAAAACGCAATACTAGACAAGCTGCGCACCAATTTTTCAATGCCGTAGCTAGGCATAACAGGTCATTAATAGACTGCAGATAGGCGGCTTTCCTTCTTAAATAGGTACATTGATATCCGGGTGCACTGTAAAGAAGTCCTGACTACCTTGCTGGCCTCTCATATTAGTCAATTATTTCTGAATGTCTGTTGTACCAGAATCCACAGTAAACAAAACTCAAAGGAACAAAAAGAAGTGGGCTTAACAATTACCAATTTGTATGTAGTATCTGAATGTCTGTTGTAAGCAGATACATTGTAACGAAGTTGATTGATTTGTGGGGTTTAACGTCCCAAAACCACCATATGATTATGAGAGACGCCGTAGTGGAGGGCTCCGGAAATTTTGACCACCTGGGGTTCTTTAACGTGCACCCAAATCTGAGCACACGGGCCTCGACATTTCCGCCTCCATCGGAAATGCAGCCGCCGCAGCCGGGATATGAACCCGGGACCTGCGGGTCAGCAGCCGAGTACCTTAGCCACTAGACCACCGCGGCGGGGCCATTGTAACGAAGTTATACAATGCACCAGTGTAGTGATGATTATGATTAAAGGGTTAGCGAGCAGTGAAAGAGCACTGATCCCATGGTGCTTATTGTAGTATCAGTGCATCCGCCGCACAGAGAACACAGGGCACGGCGCTGAAGCGCCGGCCATCAAGAAGTACGCAACAGCCGGTAGCCAAGCAGGAACTCTTTTTTTATATACACAAGCACCACGATATATACATATGTACAGCGCCCCCTAGGGGCAAGCCTACCAATTCCAAAACCAGAACCGAAACCCCGATACCACACTTATGCACTTATGATAATGCCTACAACGGTAGTCATCAACCCGAAAGTGAGATCATACCAATCAATACACTTTAGCTAACACTGATTGGCTGAATAACCAGGCACATTGTGCCACAAGTGAAAGTAAGGAGGCAAGAGGATACAGTAGACAGTAGTCGCTGCAGGAGGTGAGCGCAAGCACCTGCTTGGCTTGCCAGTCCCAGTGGGCTACGCGGTTGTGGCCAAGGCAGAGGGCCAGCGTCCTGAAATTGGTGCCAGGAACCAGCGGACCCATTTCTGGTTGCAACCACGCTACATCCCAGATCCAATCGTCAAACATGACAGGCTGCAGAATAACCTTGAACCTGCACATACAAGGGGCTCATCTTTCTGGCTTACAGTAGTGAGGTTACAACAGTTTCACTTAACTGCGAGGCAATGACAGCGTCAGCCAGGCTAACATGCGGTGATTCAGTATGGCAAACGTTGAGCATGAGCCCCCGTTGTTTTAGGGGCGAAGAACCTTAGAGCTTAGGCTTGTCGCTGTACGTCATGTCGTCACAGTTCATCATAAACAGAGGGAGCGGGCTGAGTCATGCATTCGAATCTCATTGTAACAAACTTAAGATTAATGATTTTGTCAGATTAACGACTTCTTCAGAAATACCCCTCCAAACGTTCACTGGTTTAATATAAAAATATTTCACTACTACGAAGTTCAGAATACCTTATGTTTCAGAATAACATATCGAATTTTATCCCCCTTATATCTCCATAACACTTCAAAATAACAAACAAGAATTGAAAAGTTACTCGCGGCTGTGAAAATAATGCCCACACTCAAAGGAATGATCCAATAAAAAGGACATCTTTTTGCCCCACAACAATATTCGTAATCTATTTTGTGTTCTTTCCCTAACACTATAGCCGCGCGGCCGGCACTTTATGGTCACAAACAAGCATGTTATCAGCATGACATAGCTTTCTTGATAGGAAAGTTGCCGGCGACATGTTTTCAAGAAAGGAAGCACAAGCAAACTGGATGATGCTTATTGTTGTGGAACAAAAAAAACGACAGGGCTACGCAAAAGGCGCAGCAGAGTCACAGCGAAAGCTAGCAGTGCGGCCTTTCAGAGCCTTTTCTAAAGACTCATTGGGTAACTGCTGCAAGCACACTTGCTGGGTACCCATTACGGCATTAATAATAATATTAATTTCTGGGTAGTATGCCGGCATTCGCTATGCTATCCTTTGTCATTCTCCTGAGAAGCGCCGTATCCAATAAACACTTGCAAGAAATTTTGTGCCAATTGTTCATACAGTGGCTGACGACGATGAGGAATTATGCCTAAAGTGGGTATACACCACAGTTAATAGGCAATCAAGAATGAGCTTTTCTAATCGGTTGGAGCATTAGACGACCCCCTCGTTACGCTATTCGCATTGTGTAACAGCTGGTTGTTCTTTTGCTGTTTTAAAATGCTTTATTACTCATATTTTTGGGACATTGAACCCCACATATCTTTATTACTCATATTAACACAATTCCTTTCCCAACATCAAGCCTGCCTAAGGCAAGCTTGCGAACAAGTTTCAAGCACCGGTGTGGCTCAGTGGTAGAATACTGGGCTGGCACGTAGCGTACCCGGGTTCGAGCCCCACTGTGTCTTTGGTACTAGGTTACTAGGTTTCTTTTTTTCTTATTTCATGCGACCGTGGTTACGGACACAGGCGACGGCAGCGGACAACTACGACGCCGCGCGTGACCCAAGTTTTGATCTCATAACAGCTTTCGCTGTAAAAGACACCCTTTTTACTCAATCATTATTTAGAGTGCAGCTCTGCAGCACTAACATCATAAGAATGCCTGGGTATTTACCCATCTGCCCACTCCATTCAAATGTGTGATAGACAGATTGCCATAGTTATTGCCTAGTAGTTGTTTTTGGCGTCAGGCTTTGCCTCGCAACCTTCATTGTATTCGGGCAGATGTACCTGTGCGCTTGTTACATGGCTGTTACATGGCCCTTTGGTTGGTTGTTCAACGCTCAAGATGAGCTTAGGAAGCAGCACAAAACGAATGCTACAAAAGTGAAAACTGCGACGCAGGTGACCTATCGGATGAAGGCACTGATCGAACACTACGCACAGTGCCACAATGAAGCATGCACATGAGCTTAGCTGACGACAGATAAGATCCATACCATTCATCGTGATAAGAAAATGGAACGAGAGCAAGACCACGTTGAAACAGCGCGCTCGAACCAACATGAACCTCTATTTAATGCTGATGCTTCGCAGTGCATAAGAAAAATGCGCACGCTTAAGAGTTCTTCTTTCAGCAGTTCAGCTGCCCACAGCAGGATAGATCCCGCACTTCCTCAAATAAAAGTGCCCTAGTTTCGTAATATTTGTTTGTTTTTTCACCCTTATTAGAGCATAACACGGTCGTGAATGTATACACAGAACAGGTAAGCGACTCGTGTTTGCGCTTACGATTTTCGCGAAAATGCTTAATACTTTTACAACGACTTTTCAAAATAACGAATGATTTTTAGTGGTCCCTTGACATTCGTAGTATAAAGATTTCACTAAATAGGGAGAAGAGTGGAACAGGGTTCATGGATTTAGGAGCAGTTTTGGGAGCAGCCAAAAGTGACTTTTGTAGCTGGCTTGCAGCAACGAGAAAGACATTTTAGCACAGGCTTCGAGCAGCCAGAAAGGCCTTTTTAGGCACCGCGTAACAGAGCACAGTGGCGAGATGTACAAAAATATGTGCTTGCCCTCGAAGAGAAGTCCTTGCTAGGTCGTAGTGAGAACCGAAGACCAGCCCAGTTTCTTCAGGGAACCTTTTTAATTTCTGAACAGTGCGATTAAGTTATAAAAAAATTCACAGTTCCACCACAATGATGAAGCCATGAATAAAATAGCGACAAACCGTAATGGTATACGAAGTAGGCTGGCAGCTAACTTTTTTAGATCTGACATTGCGAAACTCTTGCTGGTATAAGAGAATATGACTGCACCAGGGAGAGGTGCTCTTTCCGCAGTCTCTTGGAGTTAAGCATGTGGAAAGGTCCACAAGCAATGTTGATGGCTGTTGAGTTAGAGAGACACTAAAGGCAAATATTAAATCGATGCTGATTGCTGAAATAATAGTGCAGGAGCCTCGTAATGCTACTTTTGAGCCAAGAAAGTGCCTATCTTGAAATAAAATCACGTTTTAGTGTTCCACATCATGTTAGCACACTTCAAATTACCAAGCTCAAAGTGCAAATTTTCCGGTCACTGTTGCCATGCACAACGTTGCCCAGCCTTACTGCGCGGCCACCAACGCTAGTAGCAGCAGAGCAGAAGTAGCAGGAATCACAGCAGCAACAGCGGCCATTGAACTATTTCTCGCCATAGCCTCCGAGATGGCAGGCGTGTTTGGTTCAAATAGGCCCTGCTAGATAGCACAACCTGTCCAGTTTAACCAGGTGAAAATTGAACTTTTGAACGACTCACGCAATTCCCCATAGAAAACCAGCCCTGTACAGGTGGCGCATTGAAAACACACATGTGGCACTGCCAAACGAGTTGGCTGAAAAAGTCCTAATAGGACAGGGTCACTGGGCCACGTTGTAACGCATACGAAATGTTGCGGACATGTTATCGGATGTGTCTGCTTTACTGCTGTGCTTTTGTTTTGCGAAATTTACAGCACAGAACATAGAGTTTACACGCATTGTCAAAAGCAACAGATCAGGAGCTGCGACTGGAGAGCAGACCGGTGTAGTGAACGAGCAGTGATGCCACCAGTCATCTTGCAGCACAGCTTCAGCAAGTGTCACATTCGCAGAGGGGTACATGTGCAATAGTGTGCTCTCCATAAGACGCAAGTTCCGCATGAAAAATTGTGTGTACGGTCTGGAGAAAACTGTGCGGCAGCACCTCACATTCCGAGATTGCAGCCAAATGCCACTCCCAAGTCAAACCAGCATCATACGAAATAGAAGTACAGGTATGTGTGTGTTGGCATTGTGAATGAAAGAGCTCAACTCAGTCTGCTGCCTGCCCATTATTTCGTCGCTTTCAATGATAATTATCTCGACATAACAGAGGATACCTTCAGCCACGTGGCAGCTTATTCAAGCCATCACGCCGTTTACGTAATTTGTACTTACAGCTGTCGTAGCATGTTAACGTACAGGTGAGAAGCCGTTATGTTTCAGGATTGCACGGTGTTTTGAACAGTATGCACTTAATCCTTCATTTCACTTTTCTTCATAGGTAACTGCAAAACGCGGGGTGTTTGCCACAATCTGCACTTGCAAAGCCGGCGTGAGTGAAAATTGCAAGCACGTTGCAGCGGTCATACTTCTGGTAAAAGATGCCAACTTACCATCGTCTACAGAACCATTACAATCTTGGGGTCACCCGTCATCAACACCTGGCACGTCAGTAAATAGAGCTCGTAGAACTTTTTGGGTGAAGCCATAAAAGGCACCTGTGCCGTGTGTTGATAAGATACTGTGTACGTGAAAAGTAGAGAATCAATTTGCATACATTTTTTTCAGTATTTCCTTTACGCTAACATGTCTGTGTACGTAGCAATCATTTGAAATTAAATGTGCAATTTTCTGCATGATTTCACATGCCTAAGCTTTTACGTGCTTGCTAAGTGAAGATATTGCTGTATTTTACAGAACCAGCATTGCTACCACTCTTTTTCATACGGTCTCGACAGGAATGAATAAAAGATCATGTTTGGGTCCTACACCTCTTTTGTGCGGCACTTAACACGCAACAGTACTTTCAGTTCCTTGGGGCCTTTCTCCGACCACGGTAGCCATTCGACCGCGGTAGCCATTGTTGTCCTACTCAGCATATTGTGACAAGGCCGCCAGGGTGGCGCAACATGGCAACACAAACTTCCGCGCCGGAAGCCTATAGGTAATGCCTGGTGGTTCTTTTTTCCATAAATCAAACAGAAATGAACAAGTAGAATTTTATTACGTCTCTTGATGCATGGAAGGTTCTTTATTTAGGGCAGCTAGTTCGATTACTAGTGATTAATTAGTAACTCTGACATCGTCGAGATCATTCTGCGAATGTCTTACTCTTGGTGCATGTGTTCTCATGCATTCAACTTAATTTCTCTGCAAATAGGCCACTACCGTTGACAATATTGTCGTTTTAGACGCTGTTATAGACTGAGCTATCACTCCAAGATAAATTGTTACTTGCCTTTAGTGTCCATTTAGCGATCACACCCCACCCTCAGAATCGAAGCTCACAGCAGCAGCTCGAGCGACCAACGCCTTGACGAAACCAAAACTGACAGTTTCGAAGAAACCAAAAACAAGATGTTTCAGCCACATTTTTGGGCACAGGACTTGATGGCTGTCGCACCATATGGCTGAATTCGGGTGCTGCAGCGCAGTACAGTGCTGATGAACGAGTTTGGCGCAACAGAGGCAGGTTCAGCGCAAGATGGTGCAGGTGAACAAGTTTGGCGCACAATGGCGCAGCTGTTCCACCTCTGAGAGAAAACTGTGGTTGTTCCGTATTCACATACTATTTATAACAATCTGGAAAAAAAATAGCTCCGCGAGTTAACATTTGCGTTGCACTTGCTGCCCCTGACAAGTTGGATAGGATATGCAGAATCACTGATCCGAACTGCAAAATAAGTAAGAGCATGTACAATGGAGCATAAGATTAAGTTTGCCCTTGCACATTGAACATGGTTTATCGTGATCAATCGCTCAATCGATATGTGGGATTTAGCATTCCAAAACCACCATACGATTATGGAGACGCCGTAGTGGAGGGCTCTGAAAATGTCGACTACCTAGAGTTCTTAAATGCGGCTTTGCCGCCAAATAATTCCAGCTTCTGCTTCCCTGAACATCGTCTGGCACTCTCGTGTCGTACTACAGAGCCGCCGTGTGTCGTACTACAGAACTAGACACCAATATCAAGGAAGCTCTGCAGCACTTTCAGTCCCCTGTCCCGGTTCTGATCGCATCCACAACGAGCTCCTCCAAAACATCGACACTCCTTCGAGCACTACCCTCACTTCATTCCTCAATGAGCACTGAAGCTTCCCCAAGCCGGCCAAAAAACTTGCAATCAAGAATTTTCTGTCCATCTCACTGACTTCCTACATTCGCAAGCTTCTAGAACATGTCGTTCTTGCTAGCTTGCGAACGTACACAGACGCTAACCATCTCCTTTGCCACAGCATGCTTGGCTTCCGCCCGCATCTTTTCACGCAAGCTGTCTTCATGCGACCACAACCTTGTCAACCTACCCAAATTTTCAGACACCAAGGCTCTCCTTAGCCTCGACCTTCGCAAGGCACTCAACCATGCATCTCATTCGGCTGTCCTTGATGAACTTGCGGCCCTCAACTCTGGCACTTGTACCTGTAACTGTACCGCCCACACAGCCGAGATCGTCACAGGCTTCCCGTCTCTCAGGTACGAGCTTGATCCTTGTAGCACTCCTTAGAGCGCTGTATTACAGCCTTTTTTAGATGCGAAGCATCTTATGGTCGAGTCCAGTCCAGTGTGCGACATGACCACCATGGAGAGAGGGGGGCATGTTTTCCCCTCCCCCTCTCCAACACTCCCCACTCTCTCACCTCACAACCCAGGCATTTCCCCACTCTCTCACCTCTCTAGGCATTTCTGGCATCTTTCCTAGCAATGTTTACACCCCCATTACACTTGCACGTCCTCTCCTCCTCTCTCTCCTCTCCTATGCTCTCACTCTCCTCTTGCAATACCAACGCAGGCAGCATCAGCTAGCGATTTCTTGACTGAAATAACTGACTACTTGTGCTGCACAATCATTCACTGGCCACCCCGTATATATAGAAACTGGCTCTTGACCTCCAAGATAGTGCTGGCGGGAGATTCCTTTTGTGTGTTGTTAAACAATAAAAATTTGCAGCGTCCGCATTAATTAGACACAAACTGCGAGTCTCTGTGCCCAGTCAGAGTCTTCTGTTTCTGATTGCCCATTAGCAGCGATTGGCATGTTCCAGCCGGAAACACCGATCCACCACTGGGTGCTTTGCACCTCCCCAGGTTTCACTTCTGCGCAATGCTGCGATGAGCGCCAGCGTCAACGCCGCCGCCAGTGTAAGTGTTAGCACGCACTGCTTCGTATCAACCCATGGTTCCCTTTAGCGGGAAATTGTGTAATTTTTTCTTCATCTCGTCTTCCGCTTGCTTCCTGGCAAGGTGACCATATCCCCGTTCTCAAACACACACTGTGCACAGATGACGTAGCTGCGTGGCTTCCGTCGGGCTCCACCGGCCGCATCAACATCGTCACATTCCGTGTGCATGTGGCCGGTCTCATTTGCTCAGCAGCCAAATCAGCCCTGCTTCTTATGCGACTTGCCGACCAGCGTCACTATAGAACTCTTCAACACACAATCATGGTTCACACCAACACTGCTCCCGTTTCAGTCGTTTCCCTTATTCACATGCTCGGGCTGATACTACAGTCAAACCGTCACCACACGCACACCATCAACAAGCTCTCGCCCTCCGTACAGCAAACAACGCATATGCTCGCCAGTGTCCATGCATGGCGTACGGGCATGCGAGAACTAATCTGCTCCGCCCTATCGACGTTTTCGTTATTTCCCACCTCTCATATGGCCTTCCTTATACTCATCTCCTCAAATCAAAACACGACAGAAATGACGCCTTCATCTGTCGGGCACGCAAGGCTACCTGACGCTTTCCCTCCAACGTGCTTATGAATCGACTTATCCTTCTGCTTGGGTATACACAACACCCTCGAGGAGTTGATTGAAAGCCCCCGCTTCGCTCAGGTGCCACGCCTTTACCGTTTGCTGACCAGTCGCCATGTTCTTTCCTCCATGAGCCATGACACCTCGTCCCACCCACCAGACCTGGTCTCTCATTACATCATGATGTTCTAATGGTCTTCTCCATCAAATTACTCCTCAAGAATATGCTCACAGACCACCACGACGCTCGCCACTAAATCCGTGCAGCTATGCTTCACACCAAATATACCAACTACTTGGCAGTCGTCTATGTGGATGCAGCCAACCACAACTCACTGAGTCTATGTGGATGCAGCCAACCACAACTCACTGAGGGACGCCTTGGCAGTCATTTCCATGTCACCCTCCTCAATGCCTTCAGGTTCGGCAATCACAGCCGACACCGTTCAAACTGTGCTGTAGAAGTGGAAGTGGTTGCCATGGCTTCGACTGCTACCTCGGCTGGCACTATCACCATACTCAGCGACTCCACACAAGCCATCTCGAATTTTGCGCGAGGTCTCATCTCGCCTACCAACCTACGACTACTTCGCCAACTACTGCTGCAAGATGAGCAGTGCCACTTTGAACTGATCTAGGTCCCCACCCACTCAGGTCAAACCGGCAACAAGGCAGCTCACCAACCTGCTCGACGATTCGTTGACTGAGTGGTGGGTGCCTCAGAGTCTGATGCCCAGACACCAGTGCCCCTTGCCACCTACCATGACATCACTCGGCCCCATCGCCTTGAGCGACATGTCTATCCACTTTTTCACGGCAGTCTTCCCAAGCGGTTCAAGATCGCTTGGCATCGCCTAGAGAAGTGCAGTAAAGTCATGGCACTTTCCGTGCCCCCTCGTGCTTTCATACATCAACTCGTACATCAGCGATTCATGCTGCTGCGTCTGCAACCACGTTGCCTCACTTAGCCACATCTTCTGGGGCTGCCCGGATGATCCCCTACCAGCCAATATTATGCGCCCACCCCCTACCGAGCAACATTGGGTGGCAAGAAGCACAGCCTGGCAGCCTACATGGCCTAACCTCCCATACTCCTCACGCCTGCGACTATTAAAGTTGTTACTCACTTACCACCACAGGTTCATTAATCAATGAGAAAAAACAATGTCAAATATGTCACGTTTCAGTATGTCACCGAAAAGTAACGATGATACTGTCCCAGTCTTCAAAGTGTTTTTTCATATTTTCACAACCAGACTTTCTCAAAGTAGGTATGTTAGGTATCCAGCTTCCCCAGAAGACACTAAGGCCCTAGTAGACGTGTGAAGCTGAAGCACTTCCTGCAATAATCATGTTTTTGGTATAGCGAAAGGGTATCTTACGAATCATTTTCCTCTTCAATGCCCCTATAACACTTCATTTGTACACCACTGGAATACTGCCTGAGTAATGCTTAAACAAATTCGACACAACGTGCTTATTTCGTGCCAATCGAATCTAAGCAAACGGAACTCACATCACAGATGATGAAGGCGACACCTCAGCAGTCATGACAGTCAGGAAACGAGAGCCAAACACGGCACATGTTGGAACCGACTTGCCCACTGCAACAAAAAACAAAAATTCACTCACTTGATTCGCATCAAAACTTTCTAAAAATTCACTCACTTGACTCGCAGCAAAACTGTCCTAAAGATAACATTCCTTATTCTGGCTAGTCTGACCCACACCATTCTAATACTGCCGTCCAGCAAAACAGAACACTGGCTATGAGTACACGAATACTTGAAAATTTTGAATAATGAATTGAATAGCAATCTAATTGATTCGGTGGTCGAATCAAATAGTACATTCCAAATACTGAATATTTTTAGAATGATAGAATGATTGGCAAAGACGAAAAATGTTCGAAGGAATGAATCTAATTGATTCGGTGGTCGAATCAAATAGTACATTCCAAATACTGAATATTTTTAGAATGATTGGCAAAGACGAAAAATGTTCGAAGGAATGAGACATTGCAATAGCAAGAAGTCACTTTTCTTGTTTTCGTCATCCTATTACTCAGGTGCACACAGCCCATGTACTTACCGGACTATGGATGCTATATTGATCACAGGATGAAGGCGTTTTTCCAGAAGCTTTACTGTCACTAAAGTGATAGTGTTATCAATTCATATTAATTGACATCAATTTTTAAACATGACATTCCTGGTGATGTTAAAGAAGCACTGACATGAAATTTCAAAATCTAGAAGTGTAATTCATTTGTCTGCTCAGTATGCATAGGTCTTCTTGGCTTAATTTGAATGGCAACCATCAAGTGGAACTTCAACAGTAAACAGCGTACGAATGATCAACAAAAAATTGAGTGCCTTGCAACATCGACACTTTTGCTACGTGTTCGGTGTGATAAATTCTACTCATACAATCCTAAGTGACGATGCGTTAGTAGCGATGACGGCTATGATCAGAGTGTTCTTATTGTGGCGCAAACTGCCGCCAAGGCCTGAAAATGCTCTTACTCTTCATGTCTGATCTTCGTCGCACTGCTTTGAATGATTTTATAAACTTACAATACACAAACCACCAATGAAAGAAAGATGAAAGAAAAGAGCATGATTTGGCGTGGCTCATTAGTCAAAATGTCGGGGAACTGTTGTGAGCTGCAGCCGTCTGCTTGGAAGTGCAATGAGTGTGTCGTTTCATTACATGTATGGTACACGCCAAGACGATTACAAGCATTCAAAGTGAAGTAACGTCTAGACAAAAGTCATGACTAACAAGTAACATGCAGGTATCGTTATTAGTGATTTTTAGTTCGTCTGCAGACTTCTTTGCGTTTGCGTAATACCTGGTTACTGTTGCCATAAGCATGAAAGGCTATATAGGTAGGACTATCTGGAGATGTAAGAACTTGACAAGCACAAAAATGTTTTTGTAGAAACCTAAACCTAACGTATTCTATTTCTCTGCTGGCGTGCATTCCCTATACTGATATTCTATAGATCCTTGGAAAACTTCAACTGCGCTAGATGGAACACCAGAATGGTGATGATGATGAGTGTTTTTTTTTAATGGCACAAGGGCCAATTGATGGCCAAAAAGTGCCATTTCAATAGACTAGAGATATGAACAACATGGCTGTAAAGGGGCCTTAAAATTCCTCGCACTAACGCGGGTAAAAACGTGAAAGTAATAAAATCATGACAGTGGCGTGAGATATGTGCAGTGAAAGTGCATGGCAAAATGTCATGATAATAAAACCATGACTGAGATGTAGTCACAGCAGCCACAACCATGGTACAGAGGTCGTGCTACGGAACACCTTGAAATATAGGGTGAAAGCTATGAACATCTTTTAAAAAGCGGATCCTTACCGATGAGCATCCCAGGGTGTAGCGGGCGCTGCTGTCGATAGGGCAGTAAAAAGTGCTTTTTTCTTAGAGCATCTGGCTCATTACACTAGACGAGAATGTGGAGAATCGTAAGTGGTTCTCCACACCTCTCACAATATGGTGGATTGCCGGTAGATAGAAGATATGAATGTGTAGAGTGTGTATGTCCTGTTCTAAGCCTTGTTAGTGTTACTTCTGTGTGTCATGATTTTGATAGTGGCGGCCAATTACCTAGTTGCGGCTTATTAGCATGGAGTTTATTGTCTGTGTGTATATCCCACTTGCTCTGCCAATACCCCCTGAGCTTCCGTTCTAGAAAAGGTTTCAAGTCAAGTGCAGGGATTGGTATTGATGCATTGGAAGTAGTGTCGTTGGCGGAAGCAGCCATCTTGTCGGCCAAAATGTTCCCTTGTATCTCACGGTGCCCTGGCACCCAGCAGACAACGACATGCTGTTTTGATGTGTACAGTGTGCACAGAAGAGAGTAAAGTGACACCAGCAAAGGGTTCTTGTGTTTTTTAGGGGGCTTTCAGGGCTTTAACCACACTTAGGGAATCTGTGTATATTACCGCCTTTTGTAATTTTACCTGTTTGATGTGTTTAACAAATGCCAGCATTGCGTAAGCTTCTTCTGTGAAAATGCTTGCATCAGGATGAAGAACGCCGGCCTCGGAAAAAGATTGGCCTACCGCTGCATATGATACAGAAGTGTTGGACTTTTATGTTGTAGTTCTAGGTTATGTTGTAGTTCTAGATTTATGCTGTAGTTCTAAGAAGTATATATGTATGTGTGCAAGTGGTGCATGCTTTGTGACTTCAATAAAAGAAACATCACAAGTGTATAAGCTGCCACTGCCATGGTGGCAGATATGCTGCAGGAGCCATGAAACTGTGTTCGAGAAGAAGGACACCTGTTTCTTTGGCCAGGCCCCTTACACAGAGCGAGTAGAGCTGCCGCAACGAAGGACGGTTCTCAAACAAGCCAGAACAAGACAAATCATTACTTGCGAAATGAGAGGGGTGTTTCTTGTCTGCCTTCACCTTCAGAAAGTACAAAAAAGACAGGTAACATCTTTGTAGGTGGATCAACCATTCATTCGAATCCACGTACAGGCTCTCCACGGGGCTAGTTCGAAAAGCACCCGTAGAGAGGCGAATTCCTAGATGGTGGACAGGGTCGAGAATCTTCAAGGCTGATGGGTGTTGCCGACCGATAGATTAGAGCACCATAATCTCGGCATGTGCGTACGAGGCTTTATATAAATTCATCAGACACTTCTTGTCACTGTCCCACGTAGTGCATGACAACACTTTCAAAGTATTCATTGTTTTTAAGCACGTCTTTTAAATGCTTGTGTGGGATGAAGGTTAGTTTAGTGTCTAATATTAGTCCGAGAAACTTGTGCTCGGTCTTCAGTGGCAGAGGTTGACCATGCAGGTCAATGTTGGGGTCAGGATGGAGGCCCCTCTTTTGGCAGAACAAGACGCAAGTGCTCTTTTACGCGTTGAGTATAAAACCATTCTCATTTGCCCATTGAGATACCTTGTTCAACTCTAGTTGAACTTGACGTTGGCACATTGAGATGTTGCATGATTTGAAACCAATCTGTACATCATCGACATATATGCAGCACAAAAATATTACGTGGGAGAGACAGGTGCAAGGAATTAATTTTAACTATCAAAAGTGAGAAGCTCAATACACCTCTTTGTGACACTCCTGTTTCTTGGACAAATACTCGAGATAAGACTGTGCCAACTCGGGCACGGAATTTACGGTCAGACAGGTAGCTTTTGATGATGGTCAGCATTCTACCCCGCACACCTAAATGCAACAGGTCTCGCAATATGCCAAAGCACCATGTAGTGTCATATGCCTTTTCCATATCGAGGAACACCTAAAAGAAAAAATTGCCTCGATATGGACAAGGTGGTCAGTGGTGGACCGAGCCTCTTAAAACCCACACAGGTATGGGTCAAGTAGGCCATTAATTTCAAGAAAGTGCATCAGGCACCTGTTGTTCATTTTCTCAAAGACTTTGCAAAGACAGCTGGTTAACGCTCTTGACCTGTAGCTGGAAACTGAGGCCGGGTCCTCGCCTTGTTTTAGAATTGGGATAATAATAGCTTCCTTCCAGGCTGAGGGTTGCTCGCCGGAAGACCATATCGCATTATACAGGTAGAGGAGAGCTTTCTGGGTTTCAGTGGGCAGGTGTTTTAACATTTCATATGCCACATGGTCCGTGTTTGGGGTAGATATATTGCAGCAGGTATGTGAGGCTTGTAGTTCAGCCAAACAGAAAGGTTCATTCTATGCCTCATGTGTTGTGGGTTTGAGCTCTAATCTCTGTTTTTCTATTCTGGTTTTGTATCGTCGGAACGCTTCACTATAGTGTGTTGAGCTGGAGACCTGTTCAAAGTGCGCTCCGAGAGTGTTTGCCTGGTCTTCCAAACTCTCCCCTTGTGTGTTCACTAGAGGAAGGGAATGTGCTTCTCGTCCTGCCACCTTACCAACCATGCTCCAGACTCTCGACTCATCTGTGTATGAGTTAATGCCCGATACAAATTTGTGCCAACTTTCTCTTCTCGCCTGTCGGCGCGTCCTCCTTGCTTGCGACTTGACGTTCTTAAAGTTTACAAGATTCTCGGCTGTAGGCGAGTCTCTAAGCAACCTCCATGCCTTATTTTGTTTTTTTCGAGCATCACGGCACTCATTATTCCACCATGGGACTCGTCGTTTGCTTGACGGTCCACATGTTTGGGGAATACATTTTGTTGCTGCATCAACCAAGAAAGCTGTAAAGTAGCATACAGCATCCTCTATGCTTAACGCCGCCATGTCAGTCCAACTTAATATAGTCATTTTTTGAAACTTTTCCCAATAGGCTTTGTCGGTGAGCCATCTGGGAACCTGTGCAGGACATGTATTTGTTATTGATGTGCTGATAACAATACAAAAATGGTCACTACCATATGGATTACTAATGACTTCCTATTTAAGTAGAGGCAGGAGTGATGGGGATGTTATGCTGATGTCTATTGTTGAGTACGTATTGTTAGCGATGTTGTAATGCAACCTCGCGCATCGCAGCGAGAGTCGCCCCAGAGGCTACCATGTGCATTAAAGTCCCCTAGGACAAGGTAGGGTTCTGGAAGTTTGTCTATGAGGAACTGGAAGTTATGCTTTTCAAGACGGGGTTGTGGAG